CAGTGGCCATGATCTTAGTTTTTTTTCATGTTGAGTTTAAGACCGTTTTTTGCACTCTCCTCTTTCACTCTCATTACAAGGTTCTTTAATTCTTCCTCACTTTCTGCCACTAGGCGATATATTGTTAAACAGCAACATCTGCAACCAGAGAATCACTCAGAATGGACTCCATTGAATGAGGGACTATGTGTTCCTCTAGCCATTAGCTCTGCAGTACTCAGCCTGATGAGAAGTCCTGATGGATTTGAAAGCTAAGCAGCGTCTATTTTTAAGCTATTAGTGAACTTGGAAGATTATCACCCACCCTTGTTTTTGAAGTATTTCTTAATGAAGATTACCAAGGGAAGGATGGGGAACATTCATCCCTCCAGATGTTTTGGTCAACAATGTTAATAAGCCACACCCACCCAGCATGGCCAAAAGTACAAGACAGTGGGAACAGAAGTTCTCTTGTATGGTCTACTGCCTGGCATACCCTGTTTTCCCGAAAATAAGACCTAACCTGAAAATAAGCCCTAGTATGATTTTTCAGGATGCTCGTAATAGAAGCCCTACACCCAAAATAAGCCCCAGTTAAGTGAAAACCCGCCCTCCACCCTTGTGCAGCAACCAGAAGAAGATGACATGACTGTATTTGAACAAATGTAGATTGTTGTACATGAAAAAAAAATAAATCATTTCCCCTTGAAAATGAGTCCTAATGCATTTTTGGAGCAAAAATTAATAGAAGACCCTGTCTTATTTTCGGCGAAACACAGTATTATAACTGTCAATTCCTATGATCCAGACATGAAGATTAGACTTAATTGTTTTATAATTTTTTAACTTTTTCCTAGTAATGTGTAATAGCGGGCAAAAGCCTGTTGTGTAACTTTGTATTGGCATAACTCAGGTCAGGAGTAGGAAACAGTAAATTTACTGTAAATAAAAGCTTCTTATCTTCCCTCTTGTTTTAGTTTGCAAGGTTCCTTATGGCTCCCTTTTGCCCTGGGGAAGTCTTTGGGAGCCTCATTATGTCTGTGTGTTTTGGTGGGGGAGAGCCTTTAAAAGTCAAAAATTGCTGCTGGACCACTGCCACTGGGTTTGAGACTAACAGCATCTGTTGAGCAGCTTTTTTTTCCCCAAAGCTTCCCTCCTTCTGTCCCAAGGCTTCATCGTGGTAAAAGCAAGCCTACGGAAGCCTTGGAACCTATAACAGAGGAGGATAAGAAGCTTTTAGTTAGTGTAAATCCAGTGTTTCCAGCATCTGATCCAGGCTGTGCTAACACAAAGTTAAGCCAAGAGGATTTTGCCCGTTATGAATAATCTTATCACTATAATTTTGATGATCATTATTATGATTTTCTTTTTTCAAAAACCAGGGATGTGATAACCAAATGATCTGTGATATGTTGGTCAGACTGAAATCCATTGTGTACTTACCTGGTGATTTTGTCTGCAAAAAGGTGAGTTCATCCACTTCTTTTGCAAATGCAAGAATAATAACAGCATTAAAAGACAAGTTCAGCTATAGGTCAAGAATAAAATTGGAACAAAATTAACCTTGAGTGAATTACATAGCACAAAAATAATTACAGGGCAGTGTGCAATCATAATAATGTGCTCTCAGATTTCAAACCTGGTTCAGACAACGTGGATTTTATTACTTATATGAACATCCTTTTTACAAATTAGAGTATGAATAATTGTAGTAATTAAATATGAGTTATCTGTATCCCAACATGGGACATCAGTGTTTAAGTAAAATGTTGCAGGCACAAAACCACATGTAAATTTATACACAACGGAGCATCTGAGACTTAACTGTACAGTTCTCTGATTCTCACTCTAAAAAGTTTTAGATACACAAATTACAATACTCTGTGTTCTGCCAATAAATAATTAGTATTACAATATTCATGCATTTTGTAATAGCCAACACAGCAAGGTCAGCCGTTTTCTTGCTGTGGTTCAAACTACATCGAATGTTAAATACATGGCTCAGTGTTGCATTGCATTATCTATTTTGCTGTAGATAGCATTCCCTGCTGGTATGAATGTGGATTAGGACTACGACCATTGCACATAAACAACAAGGTTAATCCTTACCTTCTGTACCAGTGTCACTATGAATACTGGATAGCTCAGTGGTGTAAGTCATTGGCTGCAGAGCCAGAGGTTGGGAGTTTGATTCCCAACTGTGTCTCCTTAACAAAAGCTGGGACTCAATGATCCATAGAGTCCTTTCCAGCTCTACAGTTATAAGATGATGATGATGATAGGAATGGGGAAAACCTTTTCCAATTATAATTACTGGGCCAGGTATCCAAGTTTTCTTTGGTGCCAATGGGAGGTTTACACCCAGAGCATTTGACAGGTGGTGAGGAGGGGATAATTTTCATTAGAAATGCAAAAAGTGGCATGAAATTAAATAAACTCATGCAGCCATGGTCTCGGTCTTGATTGCTGCACACTGCTTAAAGGACATAAATCATGCGTGTTAAGTACTTACACACAATTAATGTCACATTTAGCTTGGTCCCAAGACTGAGAGGCAATTTAAACATTCACCTGTGCTTGAGATTCTCTGTAATTCAGTATCTACTATGTGCCAGGCTACTGAACCATACTAACAATGTAAACGATAACTACGCTCCATTTTTATTGCAACTTTCATTCTATATCATACTAGATAACTTTGATTGGGATACATATATCATGAACTCAGCCATTACTGTTGTATTTGTCCAGGTATAATTGGCTTCATTTGAATGCTAATCAGTTCACAAATAAGCTGGTAAATATGCAAGAAACAGCAGATGCTTTGGTTGGTTGATTATTCTTGATTTCCCCTTTGAAATTATGCAAATCACGCATTAAGAAAATAATTAAAATGCTGATTTACTTTTGAATGTGCAGTGTTTCATTTGTTTGGGTGGCTGGTGCTGTGAATGTCTTGGAGAATGCAAGAGGTAAGGAGAGTAAAAGGGATGCTTTTAATAGAGCAACATCTATTGGGGGAGAGTTTGCTCACTCCTACAAAAAGGAGATCTGTGAAGGTTAAAAGCTTTCAGCATCTTCCAAAGAAAACCTCGTGACAAGCTAGGGTCATAAAAGTTAATCTAACTCCTTTGATCCATCTCAAAATTCAGAATCCAGTTCTGTGTTGTGCATACATTAAGCATGAGACATATGCTTAGCGTATGTACAGTATTCTGTAATGTGCATACGTCAAGCATTAGACATATAGCAGGTAGACCTCTCGAAGTCTGTACGTATATATCTCTCACATGTTTAACGTATGGGTTTAAATGCCCCTTTGTGGACAATTATCACATTTTAAAGTTCATTGAATCCAAGAATTAGATTGCTAACTGGTAAATCCCAGTGACAAATATCCTTCCGTGCATCCAGCTATTTAGATCGTGATTATCTGGGTCTTGTTGTGCTCAGGAAGACTCACCAAATCCCCATCAATTCAGTGGAGCTACTCTAGTTGTGATGAGCAACTGCTGAAGCCAGCACCAGAATTACTTAATGAGCACTCAGTGTGCAAGTCAACACATTCATGAATACTAGAACGGTGTCAAAAACAAGCATTCTAGACATGGAGCTGACCATGAGCCTCTTGGGCCAGTAGCTTTTAAAGTAAAGCACAGACCCTGAACCTATCAGTTCTGGCTACCTATAAAGAAACCTGAACCTATCAGGTATGTACTAACTGACACACAGTTGTACTCAGTCTGACACACAGACTCCAACTCCTCACTCTCCACACAAGCTCCACATATATATACAGTACAGCTCCTCCCCCTGATGTCCCGCCTTCCACTCCCCATAGGATGGAACTTTCCCTCCAAACCCATGACAGACAGGTACCATCAGTGCTGTATGTGACAGAGCTAACCATGAGCCTCTTGGGCCAGTAGCTATATTCCAGCCTAACTTACTCTCCCACCATGATTGGGAGAATAAAAAGGGAGGATGCACCATAAATAATGTCATACTTAGGACTGGAATGTTTTTGGCAAGTGGCTGAGCTGAATAAATCCTGGAAATTTTAACTATATGATTCAAAAAAGATGTTTTGTTTTATCAATGCTGTGAACAAGAAGAGCTCAGTTAGTGGGAAGTTCACTAAGTGAGGAGAAAAAAGGCTTTAAATTAACCATCTATCGGACAGCTGTTGCTGCTGAGATGACACTTACTGTTATAATAACCATCATCATAACCTGCAGTGTTTTCTTTGATGTATGCCTCTAGGGGGAAATTGGTAGAGAAATGTACATCATAAAACAAGGTGAGGTTCAAGTACTCGGAGGTCCTGATGGCACCAAAGTCTTGGTCACCTTGAGAGCAGGAGCTGTATTTGGAGAGATCAGGTATTGTTCTGTTGCTTTGGATAAATCACTGTTTCATGAAATGACCAGATCTATTTTGCCTTTATAAATAATGCTGCTCTTACAAACATTCTATGGAATACAATGACTTGCATATGAAAATGACCCATCAAAGATAAATTAGAAAAATGCATATTCCTTATGGTGAATCAAGATTTTCTTTTCAACAGTGCAACTTCTTCAGAGATAGGTGACTTGACTGTTAGAGTTTCCCATTGAATGCATTGGGACTCTTCCAGGAAATTGCACTGGTGGATTGGGCTCTCTGAGAAACTGTAGGAAAAGTATTTGTGAGCTGCCTGTGTGTGGACTAGTAGGAGCTGTTGGCATTCTGTTCAACACAATTGGCACCCTTTCACAGCCACAAGGGGAGCTACAAGCAGAGGATAAATTTAAACCTGGCACATTGCTATTTCCTTCCTTGCCAAGTGGAAAGCAGGATTGCCAGCGGGAGATTAACAATAGCAGGATGGCAGCTGGAACAAAATTGTGTTCCAGTTTATCCCATGCAAGAGAGAAGCACCTGGATCTCCCTGCTGCACAACTTTGTCTTCTGGCAGGTTTCAGCAGAAAGAGCCTGGGCTCTAAACCAGCCCCAGCCTTTGCCAAAATAGAATGTTTCACAGATTTTGCAGAGTGATGCTTAGAAAACCCAAGAGAGCTTCATATTTAAAGAGAGGGGCCATTGAAGAGAACCACAGATTTCCATTATTATTTGTCTTAACTTTCTCCTTTATTCTCACTTCATTCACAATTCCCTTACATATGCCGCTTACTTATAATTTTCATCTATGCTCTGTGTCGAATAGTTGATCAATGCCATGGTCTGCTTCTTGCTTCATCTGTTGCATTTTTTTTCCTATCATCTGTCCACAAGCCGGATGAACTGGCTGTTCTCATAAACAAGTAGTTAAACAACACAATTGCAACAGTGATAACAATTCCCTGCCTTCTTTGTGGTACCTTTTGCCATCTTACGCCTCATCCTCTGTCCCTATGTCTGCTGAACTAACTATTCTCACCATCTTTCACAAACATTCCACCATGGATGTTGGTAAGCCTTGGGACCCATGTCTCAAGTCCAAGTCGGAGTCTCAGACACCAAGGCCCAAGTCTGAATCTTTGGTACCAAGCCCCAAGTCGGAGTTGCGAGCCACTTGCCCTGCCCCCTAAGGCTTCATACTCAGGACTTGGTACCAAACACCTGGGCCTCCCACTGCCCACCACTAACCTGCCTGCTGCAGTTGCCTCCATTCAGGAGGCCACTGCCTCCCTCAATGCATGTGCTGACAAGCTGATAGGCCAGCATAGGGTCTGAAGCAGGAGGAAGTTAGGGGGGCTTTCATAAAGATGCTCTAGACTACTGTACTCCAAGGCAGGTTCTCGGACTCTCCTCTTCCTGTAAGTCTTCCTAGTGACGCTCTATGGCAGGCTAAAGCATCACCAGGACAACTTGCAGGAATAGGCAGGTTGGAGGACTTGCCCTTTGACTACAGGCAGCTAGAGCATCACCATGAAACACCCTCTGATGTGCTGCATTTGAAGATGGCGGTGGCAGGAGCAGGTAGGCCAGCAGGGATGGGGGGCCAATAGGGATTTGGCAACACAACTCAGACAAATGGATCCGAGTCACAAGTTGAGTCGCCCATCACCCCAGAAACCCCAAAATTGAGTCCAAGACAAGTCACAGGTGTGACCTAAATCTGACTCGACAGCAAGTTGCACGTCCCCACTTCTGCATTCCACTAACACTTAATCCAGCAGCTGAGCTATTGGTCTGCAGCAAAGTCAGAAGGAACTGAAACAGGCAAGAACATGTGGTGGGGGACATAGGGTGTGACTACTCAGGAAATTGTTCTGATTCAGCTTTGCTGCAATTGGATTTCCAATCCGTATTACGTTTGAAATTGCAATCACTGCTCATGCAGGGGCTGCGGATTGATTCAGGAGTTCATCACTCACATTGGATGTGAAGTGAGTAGCATTCCAGCCCATAACGCCCCTTTCTCTCCTTCATTCGTCTGGACCAGCCTCTGCTGATCCTCTTATGGTTCTCTGTGAAGCTGCTTTCTCACTTAAAACTTCAGATTACTATATTTCTCAAAAAACATTTCCATAGAAATATAACATGGAAAGGTACTTAACAGTCTAAGAGTACCTAATATCAAAAGTTTGAACAGGAAAACAGGAAAAAGGTGATTTTAATGACACTTTCAGACCTGTTAATTAAGGGATTAACAACAGTAAGCTTTTGCTTCACAACAAAAGGGCCTTCCCACAGACACCGACAGGATCCAGGACTAGCACCTGATCCCCACATCCACCCCCCCAACCGGGCGTGAATATCATGCCCCAACTGCCTATGTCACCAAAACACTGCATACCTCGTATTTACAAGAGACTATCACAGTTAACTAGATGGAGGAAAGCCAATTCAAATCATTCTGGCTTGAAAAAGTAGATGCTGCCCAGCAGCAGGGGAGGGGGGAAGCCACTTTGGGAGCAAAAAGACCTGGACCAATTCAAAGCAGCCTTTGCATCATGCAGTCAGTTAAAAAAAAGTACTTCAGATTTGCCCATTTCATAAGCAGAGAAAATCTTGTGGCATTTGACCATATAGTCGCGCTCATAATCTTTTCAAATGTTTAACAAGACACCATTAAGATATTGGAGAACAAACATTTTCCACGTCTGCAGAAGATAAGCTAGAAGGAGTAGATAGAATTTGCTAAAAGCTTATATTGAAGATTAGCAATAATATACTTTTAACTATGAGAGTAACCAAGCAAGATAGCAAAT